TGCGGAGATTGCTGAATAAGCAAAATGAAAACAGTGGAAAGCCCAAGAGCTCAAGGCTGCATCAGCTTTGTTCCTAAGTGACTTACCTGTCAGGACTGTGCACACAAACAGCTCACAACCTGCCCCCATCAGAAACAGAACTGTCATCTATACCCACATTTCAACCCTGCTGATCAACCAGTAGGATACAGACTTTACCCCCTGCTGATTTCATAAATAAATCCCACTGCTCCCACCAATTGTCAGCAGTCGTGTTAATATACAAAATATAAGGCTCTTTTCATCTTCGGTCACCCTGAGGGCATCACAGCTTGCTATCCAAACATACCCAAAAGGGGCCTGAAGACCCCAGAAAGGAGCTCATTTTTAAATATTCAGCACCCGGCATGTCCTTTTCACGGATGCTTGTTCTTCATGCACTGTCACTTTGTGTGTCTACTTCCCTGGTCCATAAAAAGAATAATCCTATGCAATTATTCCTTACGAGACTGGAATTTATTTGGTGAAAGAGACAAGGTGTTCCTTGGCATGGGTGTGTGGTGTAGGAGATTACAAAATGAAGAAGATAATCCAAGATAACCTGCCTCATTTACGAAAGAGCTTCAGAATAATACAAAGCAGACAAAGGGCACAGGATATTAATAGTATCAAGGTAATGAAGTGTTTAATGGATTTGAAATAAATTTGGTGCTCTTTAATTGCATTGTTGGTGGCATTGTCTATGTGCAAGAGACAAAATGTTGATCAATTTTAGTGATACTTAGAGTGCACTATATGTCTTATCAAGCAGACAGCAAATGGATTGAAGCATTTACACAATATTAATAGTCTGAATGTGCTTTTAAATTAAGCTTTTCAATACACTGCAAACTTAGCATGCTGTCAGTATACTGTTGATACACTCTAGAGCAGTGATACTCCTGGTACCAGAGAGCTGCAGCTTGCGTGGTTTGGAAAAGAGTACAAAGTCCCCATTTTCTACACTTGTAATTAGAGTTAATTGAGCGTACAGTTACTGAGTCAGTAAACCAGCAGACCTGCAGCTCTTTAAGAACAGGGATGCGTATCCCTGCTGCTGGGGGAGATATAAATATGATTGCTCTCACTGTCATCTCCTGCTCGATGTGTCGGAACATCTGCTCCCTCTGCTGCTGCAGTCGCTGCTCCAGCTGCGCCTGCTCCTTCTGCTCCTCCTTCTGCAGGACTTTGAGCGCGTGCAGCTCCTGTCGCCTGCGCAGATGCAGTCACACAGTCAGTCC